CATATCATCTTCAGGCAAACAAACTGCCTGTCACCACTGGAACCAACTCACAAGCTTTCTTCTTCCCTCAGCGAGACATTTTGTAAGCAGCTTTTCTCAAAACTGGTTCTGAAATTACAACGTGGGATACTAAAACTGAAACCAGTCAGGTATTGCTAAAAAGCCTGCTTTGATTTCACCACTTCATGTCTACCTTTCATTCACAAATCACACTACCATATCACCCTTAAGAGTTAAAAAAAAAAAAGTTTTAAAAACAAAAATGGAAACCATTTTTCTGTATTTAATGCTGCATGTGTGAAGGCAAAAACAGAACACAGGGAAAATGTGACAGCAAACTACTGAACAGACCAACACGCTGCAAAATATTTTGCAGCAAATTACAACAAAACAGAGATCTATTAGATGGCATTAACAGATGAGTATTTAATAACACATAGGAATGGATGCCTGAGAATACAACGGCAACTTTATATGGGAGACGGGAATTAGCAGAAAGCCAACAGCCAAAACAGGGTGGGGGAGGAGCACCTCATTTCTAGAGCTTCAGTCCGCATCAGATGACATCAGTGCCAACGAGAACCACAGTTGCAGCCTTAATCAGGAAGACTCCTCCTCCTCCTCAAGTCCCCAAGAACACCTTGACTACAGCTCCCAGTCCAATGTCTGGTCAACTCTATCTCAGCCACAGGAGTATTTATTGAATTATATGGAGAGTCAGACAATTTATCATTGGGAAAATGGTTAAATATCTATATGCCAAACCTCAGAGAGAAACTCTGCACAAGATGATTGTCATACATGTGTGAACTGGATTTGTTAAATCTGTGCATGGAAAGGTAACTGCTAAACGTAAGAGCAAAAAAGCTCCAATTTCTTTGAACGCTCATTAAAAGCTAATCAACCAAAACATCCGCTTCGCTAGGTGGCAGGGCAGAGAGGGGATTGCCAGCCACCCCTCACAATAAAGTATTGCTCTTTGATTATGGATTTCGAAGCCTTAGGCAGAGTAGGCACAGAAAGAACAAGGAAAAATAATGCCCCAAGTGTTTGCTAACAATAACCCAGAGGGACATGCTAATAAAACTTCTTAGGGTGCCTTCCCGTCCACTCCACCCTATTTGTTAACTTTGGTAGTTCCAGCACAAACAGAAAAGCCACTTCCCACTCTCCGCTTTAAAGGCACGAGGAACAGGGTGGCATGGGGCTCTGATTTAGAGTGGGTACATCACTACGACTGCTAGGAGCTGTATTAAGTAAGCCTCCTTGTTAACTAAGGAAAAACTCCACTGTGTCCAAAGTGCCTGTGCTTAAAGTCACTGCAGTGCAATGTAATGACACTATCACGGACGTGAACAAAAAAAGGTCACAAGAGCAAAATGAGAGACAAGTTTAATGTTGAAGGTCTCTTCAAAAGACATGATAAATTCAAAAACATAATACTACCTTCTACAGCCTTTCAAAATCAAACCATACAAACGCTACTGTTAAAATGAACCGTCTCCGTGCCGGTGCTGTGTGCAGCACATAAAGCTGCTGCCTGCAGTGCCAGCAACCCACATGGACGCCGGTTCAAGTCCCCCCAGCTCCACTTCTGATCTAGCTCCCTGCTGATGGCCTGGGAAACCAGCGGAGGCTGTCCCAAGTGTTTGGGCCCCTGCACCCACATGGGAGATCTGAAAGAAGCTCCTGGTTCCTGGCTTTTGATCAGCCTAGCTCCAGTCAATAGGGGAGTGAGCCAAGTGGACAGAAGATCTCTCCCTCTAACTCTGCCTTTCGAATAAATAAATCTTTAAAAATAAAGTTTCAGGGACAAGTGGTATCGTGGTGTACCGGGTTAAGCCTCTGCTTAGCATATCCACATCCCATAATGGAGTGCCTGGTTCATCTGTCTCCAACTGCTTCTGATTCGGCTTCCTGTTAACGTACCTGACAGGCAGCAGAGAACAGCTGATGTATTGAGTCCCTGCCACAGGAGGTGCAGGTGGATTCCCCGGCTCCTAGCTTTAGCTTGGCCCAGACCTGGCTTCGGCAGGTAGTGACTCAACGAACGGAAGATCAACCTCTGTCTTTGTCACTGTGCCATTTTTTTAAATATGCTTTTTAAAATTTCATTTATTTGAAAGGCAGAGTTACAGAGAGAGAGAGAGAGAGAGAGAGAGAGAGAGATCTTAGATCTGCTGGTTCATTCCCTAAATAGCAGCAATGGCTGGAGGCTGCCAAGCTGAAGCCAGGAGCCAGGAGCTTCTTGGTCTCCCACATGGGTGGCAGGGGCCCAAACATCTGGGCCATCTTCCACTGCTTTTCCAGGTGCATTACCAGGAAGCTAGGTCAGAAGTGGAGCAGCTGGACTTGAATCAGCACTCACATGGTATGCTGGAGTCAAAGGTGGCAGCTTAACCCACTGTGTCACACAATGAGAAGTCCATCATTCCACCTTTAAATAAATCAACAAACTTCTTTTTAAAAAAACAAACGCCTTAAATTTAGCTAGAACACTAGACTGCTTGGATCACAAGTTCATACGCAGAAATGAGAACTCTCTTCCCAAAAGCCTCAAGTTCTACTGCCAAGGTACTCCACAGCAGAATTCCATTTAAAATTCCTTGAGAACCAGAACCTTGCCCATCCACCTGTGTCAATGTCCAGCAATATGCTGATACAGGGTAGATACTCAAAACATTTGATGAATGAATGAAAAAGTGCTTATCCTTACTCTCCATTTTATTTTATTTTATTTTTTAAATTTATTTGACAGGTAGAGTTATGGACAGTGAGAGAGAGACAGAGAGAAAGGTCCTCCTTCTGTTGGTTCACTCCCCAAATGGCCACCATGGCCGGCGCTGGGCTGATTCCAAGCCAGGAGCCTCCTCCTGGTCTCCCATGCGGGTGCAGGGGCCCAAGCACTTGGGCCAGCCTCCACTGCCCTCCCAGGTCACAGCAGGGAACTGGACTGGAAGAGGAGCAACTGGGACTAGAAGCCGGAGCCCATATGGGATGCCGGCGCCACAGGCAGAGGATTAACAAAGTGAGCCACGGTGCCAGCCCCCCTTACTCTCTTCTAAACTCAAAACATTGTACAAGGCTACAGCACTTACTACTCACCTAAATATATCAGCCTGGGGAGCAAAGTTTTTTTGTTTTTTGTTTGTAAAACAACAAAAAGAGAAAAAGAAGAAAAAGCTAAAAACAAGGACAAATTCGAATCCTTGGAGGTTGTGAGCACTACCCTTTAGCTTGGACTGTATCTTCAGAGAGGTAATCCTAACTCGCTTCCCAGTTCTTGGACTCCAATCTGAACAAACCCTCCCAAGTCTGAAGAGAGAAATACACTAAGAGGAGACTTTATTAATCCATGGAGAGAAGTCATGCGTCTCATCAGCTGCTTGTCACAAGGAAGAGACAAGAGCCTGTTCTTTTGGGATCCAAAGATGCAATATTTTCAACAGAAAAGAACCAACGAGATGGACACCCACCAACTAAGGTCCTAAGAGAGGTCCACACGGCAGGTTTGACACCTCAATCAACCTAAGATGTAAGTCACAAAATTTTCCAAACCTCAGGTAAGTACACTGCCAGAATTCAAGAGCTCCTAATTTAATGACACAATCTTAACTAGTCTCAACTGCAACAGAATGTGACCTAAGGTAGTAAGGCTACCAGACACGCGTTCAAACGGCATCGCCAGAAAGGAGGTGGAGGGAGACAGAGCAGACACCAGGTGGCAAAAAGTAAAAATCGCAAGCTTTCGGGGCACTGGACCGCGCCGCAACTCTAAAACGGAGGAGAGCCTTAAGGGGCCTGAAGGCTGGGGCTTGCATCTCTGCTCGGCAACTTGCTAGCCCCATGATCGACAACAAACTACCTAGCGTCTGTGTTCTTCGAGCTTCCTGACCCTCACCACGGCGGTCGCGATTCAGAGGCCCGCTCAGGGGCCAGGGCTGCGGCTCAGCGGGTCAAGAGCTGCCTCCACCCGAGCGCCAGTTCCGTGCCAACGCGCCTGGGAACGCAGATGACCACCCAAGCACTTGCGCCCCTGCCACCCAGGGAGGAGACCAGGACGGAGTTTCTGGCTCCTGGCTTCACCCCGGCTGCTGCAGGCATCTGGGGAGCGAACCAGACGATGGGAGCTGGCGCGCGCTCTCCCCTCCGCCTCCGTCACTCTTTCAAATAAATACATTTTTTAAAAAGAAGACTGCTGAGAGAATTAAACATAATCCGTGCCAAGGCCGTGCCACCCAGCCCAACGCACGGTCAACGCTCAGATGTCCGCCGTGTACTCAACAACCCCACTCCACCGCCCGCCGGGAGACGGGCTAAACAGAGCACCTGGCCGGCCGGACACCGCCGCAATTCAACACTTCTACTGCCAACCACCGCCTTTTCGCCGGCAGGTTTTCAAACTTTCGGCATTTACGTGACAGCTTCGGACGCGTCCTGGAGCCAGAGGCGTCTCACATGCACACGAGTGTCAGCGAGCCCCGCGCACGGGCCCTGACTCACGGCCTGACTCAGTGGCCGTCAGGGCACCTGCCCCACTACCAGGGGCGCACGGAACAGGGCTCGGCCCTGGCGCCCGCCCCCGAGGCCCGCGCGGTCCGCGGCGCCGGCCCTGCGTCCCGGGACACGGCCGCGGGCGGGGTCCGCTCCGACACCGGCCAGTGCGCCGCTCCAGGAACTCCACCGGCCGCGGGGCCGCCGCGCCGCAGGACGCCTTCCCGGTCTCCGGTCTCGGCGCGAACCAGTAAACAAGGAGTCCGCGAACGGCGGTCCGGGGTCGGCAGCCCAGCCAGAGGTCACACCCGGCGACCTCTGACCTCTCCCCGGCCGGGCGCGGCCCGGGCCAGCTCCTGGGGGACTAAGCAACTTCGACATCGCCCGCGAGGTCCGGCCCGGGACCGGGCCCGCCCCGGGCAGGGAGGACGAGAGGCCCTGGTGACTGCCGGGGCTGAGGAGGGGGATGGGGCCAGGCAGCCGGCCGGGCTGGGCCCGCTGCTTACCGCGGCCGCTGCGCTGGGAGCTCCGGGCCGGGCGCGTCTCGAAAGCTCCAGACGACGAGGAGACGCAACGGAGTACAAAGGCACGCAAGTCCAGGTTCCGGTACACCGCACGCTCGGGCGCTCTCCAAGCCTCCAACCCCGCCGCTGCTGCCGCCGCCGCCTCGGGCTTTATGGCCAAGACTCCGGCCCCGCTCCCACTTCCGCCACTGCCGCCGCCCCGAGCGGAAGTACCTGTCACGAGACACTCGACGCCCTGGCTGCGGGGGCGGAGCCCCGCCTCACCCCTGCGTCACGTTCCGGCCGCCCCGGGCCGAGCCTGGAGTGCGTGGTGCAAACATGTCTGCTCTCCTATGGTTGTCGCCATCTTTGAGGCCCGTGCAGGGAGCAGGACGACGCCAGGCTCGACCCACAAACGAATTTCTCAGCCGTCCCTCGTTACCCCAAAATAAAGAATGCCGGGGAAAGAGGGCGAGGGCAAACTAGCCCTTACAGTAGTGTCTTTGTCCAGAAGACACTGAACCAGCCAAGTAGTCCTGTGCGCTGAGTGCCCTAAGGTTTATAAAGCCAAGGCTGGAGAACATGGAGTAGTGAGACAAGCTGGTGTGCCTTGACGGGCTCAGCAAAGACAGGCAGTCACATTTACTAAGCACCGACTGAGCACGTGTACTACACTTTTATTTTTATTTGAGTGACACGAACAAAGGGGTCCCATCTCCTGGTTCACTCCCCAAATGCCCACGAGGGCCAGGGCTGAAAGCCAGGACGCAGTCCTCAAGGACACAATCCATGCCTCCTATGTGGGTGGCAAGAACCCAGCCATTGAAGCCATCACCTCTGCCTCCCAGGGTCTTCATTGGCAGCAAGCTGCAGCCAGGAATGGAACTCTGGTACTCTGATAGAGGAGGTGGTATCTTTTTTAAAAATCTATTTATATGAAGGACAAAGTGACAGAGAGAGAGAGATGTCTTTCATCCACTGGTTCACTCCCCAAATGGTTGCAATAGCCAGGTCTGAGGCAGAGTGAGGCTGGCAGCCAGGAGCCCCATCCTAGTCTCCCACATTGGTGGCAAGAGCCCCAGTACTTGTACCCCATCTTCCACTGTCTGCACAGGAAGCTGGATGGGAAACAGGGCAGTTGGGATTCAAATCAGCATTCTGATATGAGATGCTGGCAATACAAGCAAGAGGTGGCTTAACCAGATACACAACACCCACCAACTCTGGGATACGGACATCGCAACTACAGGCTAAACTGTTCCCTGTACTACACCTTTGAGTTCTCTGCATTTGTCTCTACTTTAACCATTTAATGAAAATTATCACCATGTCAATGGGAAAAGGCTGTGTAAAAAGGTTAATGTAAGGTGTAGTCATGGCAGAATATGGCTGACCTAAAACAGGGAGACAACCCCAGTGACCTTACTGAGTCTTGGGAAGTGTTTCAAAGTGGTCAAATGCCAGTATGAATTTATGTACTCATAACAATAATTTTTTATTTATCACTACACAGTGAAATGTCACTGGACACAGTGACATGACCTGAAAAGGTAAGCAGGGGAGAGATGGGCAAATTTCTTACAGATTAGAGATTACTTTCTTTAGAACATGATTGATTACAAACATCATTTCGAAAAAAAAGAGGCTATTGATTAATTGTTTAATGTTTATTTTTATTTACTGGAAAGGCAGAGCATTAGAAAGAAAGATTAAAAGGGAGAGATCTTCCATCTGCTGGTTCATTCTCAAATGCCACAGCAGCTGGGCTGAAGCCAGGAGCAGAGAACTTCATTCAGGTCTCCCACATGGGTGGAAGAGCCTCAAGCACTTAAGCCATCTTCTGTTGCCTCCCAGAATGTATTAGCAGGAAACTGGATCAGAAGCAGAGTAGCTGGGACTCAAACCAGCACTCTGATATGTGATGCAGCATCCCAAGCAGCTGTATAACCCTGCAGCACCACAATGTCCACCCTGGTTAATTTTTAAAAGGAAATTTCTGGTGGCTGGCATTGTGGTATAGCAGGTAAAGCCACTGCTTGCAGTGCCAGTATCCCATATGGGTGCTGGTTTGAGTCCCAGCTGTTCCATTTCTGATCCAGCTCTCTGCTATGGCCTGGGAAAGCAGTGGAATATGGCCTAAATCCTTGGGCCCCTGCACGCACATGGGAGACCCAGAAGAAGCTCCTGGCTCCTGGCTTCAGATCAGCTCAGCTCTGGCCGCTGGGGAGTGAACCAGCAGAGGGAAGACCTCTCTCTGCATCTCTGTAACTCTGCCTTTCAAATAAATAAATAAATAAATCTCTCTCTAAAAAAAAAAAAAAAAAAAGAAAGAAAGAAAAAAAGAAATTTCTGGGAATAGATGAGATAGATGAGGAATGTATAGTTAAAAAACTAAGAATTACGCAAGGTTGTCCCAGATGGTTAAGACAAAACACAGTCTGTGTGCACATCACCCAAGTCAAACTGACCTGGTGAGTAAGATTAAAAGCCTTGTCCAGACACTCCTCTGTAGGAGTTTCTCTAGCATACTTCGCAGGCTTTTTAGAGTCAGCTTATTCTCACTGTTTTACAAAGAAGGAACCAAGATCCAGCGCTGAAAGCTAGCTCACATAATAAATGGTTAAGCCAGGAGATGAACCAAGGTCTGTATGATATCAATGTGTGTGTGACCTTTCTACTAGACTGCAAATGACTGCACCAATTATCCAGCTGAATGATAGTGACACAGAAGCAAATTAGACATTACCGGATTGCTTTGCCTGGTGGAAGACATAATCCAACGAAAAGTAAAAGAGCTAAAGGCTCCCTGAACTTACTATTACAAGAGACACAATAAAGATAGATTTGACACAGGTCCCACAAGTGTGGCTCAGCCTCCAGATACCAGTCCCATCTGAACATATCAAGATCCACTCAGAAATTTTTATCTCCATCTTCAACAATACCCTCTTAGAATATTTTTCTTATTTGACTCATGAAAACTCCATTGGTTCCACTGTTCCATCCAAACAGCTTTGGAATCATTCTGAACTCCTGTAGTAGGTTGAACAGTGACCACAGAAAATATATGTCCCAGGCCGGCGCCGCGGCTCACTAGGCTAATGCTCCGCCTTGCGGCGCCGGCACACCAGGTTCTAGTCCCGGTCGGGGCGCCGGATTCTGTCCCGGTTGCCCCTCTTCCAGGCCAGCCTTCTGCTGTGGCCAGGGAGTGCAGTGGAGGATGGCCCAGGTGCTTGGGCCCTGCACCCCATGGGAGACCAGGATAAGCACCTGGCTCCTGGCTCCTGCCATCGGATCAGCGCGGTGCGCTGGCCGCAGCGCACCGGCCGCGGCGGCCATTGGAGGGTGAACCAACGGCAAAGGAAGACCTTTCTCTCTGTCTCTCTCTCTCACTGTCCACTCTGCCTGTCAAAAAAATAAATAAATAAATAAAAAATTAAAAAAAAATTAAAAGAAAAAAAAAGAAAATATATGTCCCATATCTCAGAAGCTGCATGTGACTTGGTTTGGGAAAAGGGTTTTGGCAGGTGTAAAGATCTCAAGATGAGATCATTCTGGATTATTTAGGTGGGCCTAAATCCAATGACAAGCATCCTTATAAGAGACCCAGAGAAGAGACTCATTGAAAAATCTATGTGCAGATGGAGTCAGAGCAGATTCAGTAGCGAAAAGCCCAAGAATGCCAACAGCTGGAAGAGGGAAAAGAAAGAAAAATCAAAGCTTGATAAAGGCTAGTAGTCTCCAGAATGCGAGAGAACACATTTCTGTAGTCTTCTTTTTTAAAAAAGATTCTTATTTTTATTTATTTGAAAGACAGTTACAGAGAGAGGTAGAGATAGATGGAGAGGTCTTCCATCCACTGGTTCACTCCCCAAATGGCTGCAACAGCTGGAGCTGACCGATCTGAAGACGGGAGCCAGGAGCTTCTTCTGGGTCTCCCACGTGGGTTCAGGGGCCCAAGAACTTGGGCCATCTTCTACTGCTTTACCAGGCCATAGCAGAAAGCTAGATAGGAAGTGGAGCAGCTGGGACTAGAACTGGTGCCCATATGGGATGCTGGCACTTTAGGCTGGGGCTTTAACCCGCTGTGCCACAGTGCCGACCCCTGTAGTTTTCTTTTTTAAAGATTTATTCTATCTATTTAAAAGGAAGAGTTGGGAGAGGGGTAGATACATGTTCCATCTGCAGGTTCTCTCCCCAAAAGACAGCAGTCAATGGCCAGGCTGGGCCAGAATGAAGCCAGGAGCCTAGAATTTCTTCTGGTCTCCCACATGGGTGGCAGGGGCCCAAGCACTTGGTCCATCTTCTGCTGCTTTCCCGAGCACTTTATCAGGGAGCTGGATGGGAAGTGGAGCAGCCAGGACTTGAACCAGCGCCCATATGGGATGCTGGCACTGTAGATGGTGGCTTAACCCACTGCACCACAATGCCAGCCTGTAGTTTTTTTTAAAAGATAAATCTAGTTAGATATTTAGATACATGAAATACCTACACTCTATAATCCAAGACAATGTGTTTTTATCAGGGCTTTAAATTTATTTCTCACATACTGCAGTGTTTTCTTTATCCATTTTTTCTCCCTTCTTAGGTCGTTCTAGCATGCATGCTCCATCAATTCACGTGAGGCTTTTAGGTTACATGTACATGCACATACAATGACTTGTACACATAAAATTTCACACATGTACACTTATACTCTCAAATGCCTTATTAATGTTAATCACAAGATTAGTTCATGCATTAATTTCTACAAGCAAAACAAGAAAAAGAAGAAAACAGATTTCTACAAACAAGGCAGACGTGTAATACACTGGATGCCTAACCTCTTGATTGTGCTCCACAACGGAACCTCTTGTGTCAGCTACCGCTGGCGTCACTGTCAGTTCTCTGAGGAAGCTGCAAATGCTGCTGGCAATGTAATTAAAGGTTCATAGATGGCTGCCAGTGTCACAGGTTTGCATCGTCATGTCTTAAGTCAGTGAGAGATGGACTGGAGAGGATGACCAGATATCCAGTCTTCTGAAGATGACAAACCAGAGGGCAGTCCGAATGCTAAGTAGTCTAAGCATCCTTCACTCTTCTCACAACGGGGCAGGAGGTAAAATCTGAACCAGCAGTTCTTAGAAACCCAGCCCCGCTCTGGCCCACCACGGACCTGGGACCTCACTCCACCCCAGCTTAGAACCGCCACTCTTCTCCTCAGATGGCTCTGCACTTGGGTTGCCCGACAGTTACTGGGAAACCAAGGGCTGCAAAAAATCCTAGCCCAGGCTAGGTAAGGGGTGGAGGTACCACATTTATGTACCTTTTAAAAAGACTTATTTATTTATTTGAAAGGCAGAGTTACAGAGAAGCAGAGGCAGAGGCAGAGGGAAAGGGGGAGAGAGAGAGAGAGAGAGAGACAGAGAGAGAGAGAGAGAGAGAGAGAATCTTCCATCTGCTGGTTCACTCCCCAAATGGCCAGGGCTAGGCCAGGCCAGGAGCTTCTTCTGAGTCTCCCACATGGATGCAGGGGCCCATGCACTTGGATCATCTTCGGCTGCTTTCCCAGGTGCAGGAACAGAGAACTGGATCAGAAGTGAGGCAGGTGCTGGTACTCTGGTGCAGCAGGTTAAAGCCCCAGGCAGCAACGCCGGCATCACATATGGATGCCGCTTTGAGTCCCGGAGGCTCCACTTCTTTTTTTTTTTTTTTTTTGACAGGCAGAGTGGACAGTGAGAGAGAGAGAGAGACAGAGAGAAAGGTCTTCCTTTGCCGTTGGTTCACCCTCCAATGGCCGCCGCGGCCGGCGCGCTGCGGCCGGCGCACCGCGCTGATCCGATGGCAGGAGCCAGGAGCCAGGTGCTTTTCCTGGTCTCCCATGGGGTGCAGGGCCCAAGCACCTGGGCCATCCTCCACTGCACTCCCGGGCCACAGCAGAGGGCTGGCCTGGAAGAGGGGCAACCGGGACAGAATCCGGCGCCCCGACCGGGACTAGAACCCGGTGTGCCGGCGCCGCTAGGCGGAGGATTAGCCTAGTAAGCCGCGGCGCCGGCCCCGGATGCTCCACTTCTGATCCAGCTCTCTGCTCTGGCCTGGGAAAGCAGTAGAAGATGACCCAAGTTCTTGGGTCCCTGCACCCATGTGAGGGACCTGGAAGAAGCTCCTAGCTCCTGGCTTCAGATCAGCTCAGCTCTGGCTGTTGTAGTCATTTGGGGAGTGAACCAGTGGATGAAAGACCTCTCTCTCCCTCTGGCTCTACCTCTCTCTGCATAACTCTGACTTTCAAATCAATAAATAAATCTTTTTTTTTTTTTTTGACAGGCAGAGTGGACAGTGAGAGAGACAGAGAGACAGAGAGAAAGGTCTTCCTTTGCCGTTGGTTCACCCTCCAATGGCCGCCGCGGCCGGCGCACCACGCTAATCCGAAGGCAGGAGCCAGGTGCCTCTCCTGGTCTCCCATAGGGTGCAGGGCCCAAGCACTTGGGCCATCCTCCACTGCACTCCTGGCCCATAGCAGAGAGCTGGCCTGGAAGAGGGGCAACTGGGACAGAATCCGGCGCCCCGACCGGGACTAGAACCTGGTGTGCCAGCGCCGCAAGGCGGAGGATTAGCCTAGTGAGCCGCGGCGCCAGCCTATAAATAAATCTTTTTAAAAAATGATTAAATGTTAACAAGATCATATAAATAGGATCAAGTGTCTGGCAATAATAATAGATAGAATTAAAAAGGAGATAATGTTCCAACATGGGAACAATAAAATAAATCTTTAAAAGAAATAAAAAATAAAAATAAAAAAGCAGTGAGGCAGCTGGGACTTGAACCAGTACCTATATGGAATGGCAGTGTCACAGGCAGCAGGTTTACCAGCTATGCCACAGCACCAGCCCCTATTTCTGTACTTTTAAAGCCACCAAATTTTTTTTTTTATTTTTTTTTTTTTTGACAGGCAGAGTGGACAGTGAGAGAGAGAGACAGAGAGAAAGGTCTTCCTTTTGCCGTTGGTTCACCCTCCAATGGCCGCCGCTGCAGCCGGCGCACCGCGCTGATCCTGGCAGGAGCCAGGAGCCAGGTGCTTTTTCCTGGTCTCCCATGGGGTGCAGGGCCCAAGCACCTGGGCCATCCTCCACTGCACTCCCTGGCCATAGCAGAGAGCTGGCCTGGAAGAGGGGCAACCGGGACAGAATCCGGCGCCTCAACCGGGACTAGAACCCGGTGTGCCGGCGCCGCAAGGTGGAGGATTAGCCTATTGAGCCACGGCGCCGGCTTAAAGCCACCAAATTTATGACAAATTGTTACAGAAGTCCTAGGAAATTAATTCAGCTCTCCTCTCTCGTATCCTTCATCCACAGCCTTCAAAACACATCTAGAACATAATCACTTCTTAATAACTTCACCAACACAACTTGATCTGATCAGGATTTATTGCAACAATTTATTTATTGATTTCCTATTTTCCCTCTTTGTTTTTATTTTTTAAGGTTTTACTTACTTACTTGAGAGGCAGTTACAGACAGAAGGAGAGACAGACAGAAAGGTCCTGCATCCATTGGTTCACTCCCCAGATAGCAGGAATGGCTGGAACTGCACCGATCTGAAGTGAAGAGCCAGGAGCTGCTTCCAGGTCTCCTGCACGGGTGCAGGGGCCCAAGCACTTGGGCCATTTGCTATTGCTTACACAGGCCATATCAGAGAGCTGGATCAGAAGAGGAGCCGCTGGACATGAACCGTGCCCATATGGGATTCTGGTGCCACAGACGGAGGTCTAGTCCACTGTGCCACAGCGTCAGCTCTCTCACTCTTTGTTGTTGTTGTTGTTGTTTTAAGATTTATTTATTTGGAAGGCACAGTTACAGAAAGGCAGAGGCACAGAGAGAGAGAGAGAGGTCTTCCATCTGTTGGTTCACTCCCCAAATGGCCGCAATGGTCCTCCACACAAGTGCAGGGGCCCAAGGACTTGGGCTACCTTCTACTGCTTTCCCAGGCCATAGCAGAGCTGGATCAGAGGTGAGCAGCCAGGACTCGAACCGGCACCCGTATGGGCTGCTGGCACTTAGGTGGCGGCTTTACCCGCTACACCATAGTGCCAGCCCCATCACTCTTTGTTTTTAATGCTTACTTATTTATGCTCATCTGTTTGAAAGGTGGAGTGATACGAGGCGGAGGGAAATCTTCCATCTGCTGGTTCACTCCCTAAATGACAGCAAAAACCAAGTCTGGGCCAGGCAGTAGCCAGGAGCCAGGAACACCACGTGGGAGCACATGGGTGGCAGGGATCCAAGTATTTGAGCTATTTTCTGCTTCTTCCCAGGCATAGTAGCCGGAAGCTGGATCAGAAGCAGAGTAGATAGGACTCACATACCTACTCTGAAATGGGATGTCAGCATTGCAAGCAGTAGCTCAACCTGTTACACCAAGATGTCAGGCCCTGCCTATTTTTTATACTATCTTTAACTTTTAACCAGGAGACTATTAACTATAAAATATTCAAATTTGAAAACAAGTCCATAAGTGATCATTGGAATGCAGATGATAAAACGGTGTTCTGAACAGTGATGGAAGGTTAGGAGAGAGGTGATATTTGACACAGGTGGTCTTTTGAACAGAGACCTAGTGACACAGGGAGCCAACTTGTTGAGAACACCTGAACAAGAAATGTTACAGGTGGAATGAAGAGGAAGGGCAAAACTATGCAGAAACAACGTGTCCTGTTTAAGGACAACCAAGAGGCCAATGTGGTTGGAGGCGAATGAACAAGGAAGTGAGTGGAAACACGTGAGGTGGGAGTATTAGCAGGAAGCTAAATAAAAAATGGAAAGAGGCCGGCACTGTGGCATAGCTGGTGAAGCTGCCACCTGCAGTGCTGGCATCCCATATGGGCACGGGTTTGAGTCCTGACTGCTCCACTTCCGATCCAGCTCTCTGCCATGGCCTGGGAAAGCAGTAGAAGGAGGTCCAAGTCCTTGGGCCCCTGCATCCACATGGGAGACCCAGAAGCAGCTCGTGGCTCCTGGCTTCTTCGGGCCTTCCAAGTGAGTAAAGAATGGCAGCAGCCTTGTGGAACCTGAGGCAGAGACAGAAAATAAAGCATGTAAATAAGGGAAATCTATGTTGTATCAGAGTGGTACGTGTGATGAGGGATGTGGGATGGGGAATGGCCCTGCCTTCTGGTCTCCCTCCCCCACGTCACGCCTCCCACCACGCTGGCCCTCTTCCTGCTCCCTCCCTGGGGACCTCCACCCTTCTAGCTCCTCTGTCCAGAACAGTCCCTTCTCCTTGCCACCCTCGGCAAAGCATGCCACCTGGCTGGATTCTCCTCCCCCATCTCAGTTTCAGCTCGATCCACAGGGCAGGGAAGCCCTCCTGGATACTCCTGTCAAATGCCATTTTCCAGTTACTCTAAAAAAATAATTTTTTAATTTTCCACTAACACTTGCTAACTGTGCATATTTACGGAGTGCTGTGTGATAACCCAACACATGAACACAGCGTGTCACGATCAAGTCAGGGCGGAGAGCATTTCCAACTCTTCAACCATTTATTATATCTTTGTGGTGGGAAACATCAAATTGGTCGCTTCCAGTTCTTTATGAAATACACAGTAATCAGCCTGCGGTGCCGTAGAGAATGGTAGATCCTCCTCCCTGTCTAGCCATCCATGCACTTCCGGGCACCCACCACCAGCCCTGCCCACCTTCCCCACACCCTGTTCCTCGTTAGCTCACGGCCTGTCGCAGTGACGTTTCTCCCTACCCCCCTCTCAGAAGTGATCCTGTGTGTTTCTGGGTTTACACATCTCGCACTTCCCTGTGGAGTTTCAGCTCCGTGACAGCAAGCACCTTGTCTGATTTGCTGTTACAGTGCTAGCGCCTGGACAGGACCTGGACCACCCTGGGGACTCAGTGAGTATTTATTGAACTACGGATGCATTCATTGCTCTTGCACCTTGTCCTCACCTTTCTACCTGAAGAACTCCCATTTTCCCCGGAAGACTTGTCTAGCAAGCAGCAATGAGCAGACGTGACACTGCAGCACCGAGTTAAGCAAGGGAATGCCGACTGCTACGTAACAAGCAGGCCTCCTAAAGGAAGTGTAGCTCAGACGAAGCAGAAGCAGGACGCTCTCCTCCATGCGCTGATCCAGGCTGGGTTTTTCCTACCGCGGCAGCACCGTTCCCAGGGATCCCATCAGTGCCTACAGACGCTGGTGGCATGGCAACAGCGCTGTGCAGATGGCACGCCCTTGCTGTGGAGGTGACACACATGCATCAGCTCACATTTCTGTGAGAGGAGCTAGCTGTATGACCACACCTAGAGGCAAGAGGGGTGGGAACAGGCCATCCGTGTGGGCAGCCACTGGCCAGCTGCGAGAGGGGGAGTAAGTTCTGGTGGACGGCTTTCTGCCTCTGCCACAAGCACACTGTGAGGCATGCTAGATGAAGGAAGCAAAGGAGCCAGAGTGAGCCAGGAGAGACCTCAGGTAGCCCATGAGACAGGGTAGTCAAGGAGGGCCTCCCAGAGGAGGCGGTGCTGCGGTGACTCATGAAAGCTGAGTAGGCACCTGCTGGGCAAAGGAAGGGGATGGTTCCTGCCTTCAGACGGACAGCGTGCACAGAAGTCTGGAGCAAACAGCGCACGTCCTCACTCACTCCAGAAACCATGGACATATGCACTGCTGAGGGACAGTGCTGGGGAAAGGAAACTGGCAGCGTGACGTCACAGGGTCCTGAAGCCCTCAGTGTGCATGTCGACACAGGCTTCTCCCATCTTCCTGGTCCTGGCACTCGAGATCAAACACTGAGCATAGAGACTGTGCAGACGTGAACTGCAAGGACGTGTGCTACTAGCAGGGCAAGAACAGGCCCAGGAGCACAGAGCGCCGGCAGAACCTGCCCTACCACAATCACTCATCCCTCCTCCTCCAACCCCCCATGGGCAGCCAAAGTGCAAGAGGAAGTGAGAAGGAAGCCAGTGCCACTGGAGGCAGCGGTGTTTCCCCTTCCCCACTACTGACAACCGAGGGGGTTCTGCAAGACTCTGAGGGTGCTGCGTGCAGGGCGGGAGAGCATCTCGTTCTTGTAGGCCACCGATGAGCTGCTCCCGCCGTCTGCCCCCTGGAGCGTCAGTGAGGAGGGGAGGAAGAGAGGAGGCCGCGGGGCAGCACCTGCACACCCTCCTGGGGAGGCTAAAGTGTGGGGTTTTCCCAGAGTCCAGGCATCGGTCACAGGGCACTGGCGTTAGGCCACTATATCAGTTCTCCATTGCTGTAAAATGAAACACTCAAAACCTCAGTGTCATAAAACAATAGTCACTTGTTTTATCAAGATTTCTCTTGGCCAGGAGTTCAGATGGAGCATGACGTGACTGATCTCTAACCCATGTTATCTGGGGCTTCCTCAACTGAAAGAGTCAGGGCTGGGGCTGACACCTGCTGCGAAGGTGGCTCACCCGCACAGCTGGCAGCTGTATCACTTCAGTGTCCTCCTAAGAGGGCTGCTGACTTCTCCCTGGGAGAACAATCCACAGGGCCAATGCAGAAGCTCTTAGCGCCTAACAGCACCCAGCCCAGGAAGTCACACACTGCCGTGTCCACAGCTCAGCTGGGATGAGTTCAAGAAGAGACTACAAATGCAGATGTAAACCAGGGGGTAAGGATCGCTGGGGCCAACTGTAACAGTGGAGACCACATCCCTGGGGTGAGTGTCTTAGCCAGGAGGGCTGGAGAGTAGAAGGGGAGACCTTGAGAGGAGCTGTGGGAGTGGGAACGCTTCAAACCCAAGGCCGATCACCCTCATCATGGCTCTGAGCTATGGGAACCCTATGTATTTTTTTTCTATACTTTTTCCTAGTGTACTTGAAAGACACAAAAAGAGATGAGAGAGAGAATCTTCCACCTGCTGGTTCACACTCCAAATGTCCACAACAGTCAGGACTGGACCAGCCTGAAGAGCCTGGAGCTCCATCCAGGTCTCCCACATGGTTGGCAGGGGCCCAGGCACCTGAGGCATCACAGAGTGGCCTCCCAGGACGCATCGGCAGGGAACTGGATTGGAAGTGGATATGCCTGGATTCAAACCAACACACTGCCGTGGAATGCAGGTGTCCCAAGTGGCAGCAAACCCGCTGTGCCACAGCGCGTGCCCCAAGCCGCAGGGGTTCTGCAGGTGACTCCTGTATGCCCTGTGCAGGTCTGCAGGCTGCACGCAGGATGCTGGTGAGCAGTAAGCAGTCAGAGAGGCAGCAATGACACTGTGCTGTTACTAAAAGATCCTCCTTTCCCAATGCCCTCCAATGTCACCTTGGTCATATATCAGATGGCTGTGCATTTATCAGTCTATTTTTAGACTCTGTCCTGTTCCATTGATCTAGCTGCCTTTCCTTACGTCAATACCACACTGTATAATATACTTACATAGTAATAACTAATACATAGTGGTGTTAAGTCCTCCAGCCTTCTTCCTCTGCCACGCTGCGTCGGATATTGTTAGATTCTTGTACTTCTCTAAACACATTAGAATCAGCCTGTCAGGGCTGGCATTGTGCTGTAGCAGGTGAGGCCTCTGCCTGCAATAACACCAGCATCCCACATGGGCACCAACCAGTTCAAGACCCGCTTGCTCCACAACCAGTTTAACTCCCAGCAAATGTGCCTGGGAAAGCAGAAGACAGTCCAAGCAAATGGGCTCCTACACTCATGGGGGAGACCCAGAAGCAGTTCTGGGCTCCTGACTTTGGCCTGGCCCAGCCCTGGTCATCGAAACTATTTGGGGAGAGATCCAGCAGATAGAAAATCGCTGTCTCCCTGTCTCTCCTCCTCTCTCTGTGACTCTGCCTTTCAAGTAAATAAAAAAGAAATCTTTAAAAAATTTTAAACAAATGATCAACTTTTCAAATTCTACAAAAAAAATTTTTTGCTAGAATACTGACCGGAATAGCATAGTATTCATGGATCCATTTAGAGGAAATGTTATCAAGCCATACACTTAAGAATTAAATATTTTTATTTTTTAAAAATATTTATTTATTTATTCGAAAGGCAGAGTTGCAGAGAAGCAGAGGCAGAGAGAGAGAGAGGTCTTCCATCTGCTGGTTCACTCCCTAAATGGCCACAACACCAGAGCCGGCCTGATCCAAAACCAGGAGTCAGGAGCTTCTTTCAGGTCTCCCACGTGGCTGCAGGGGCCCAAGGACTTGGGCCATCTTCTACTGCTTTACCAGGACATAGCAGAGAGCTGGATAGGAAGTGGAGCAGCTGGGACTCGAATCAGCACCCATACGGAATCCCAGCACTGCAGAAGGTGGCTTTACCCACTAAGCCACAGTGCTGGCCCCAATATTTTTCTTTATGTATGTTATGACTCGAAAAATAATTTAAAGATTTTTTAAAAATTTATTTGAAAGGCAGAGTTACAGAGAGAGTAGCAGAGAGAAAGAGAGAGATCTTGCATCCACTGGTTCACTTCCCAAATGGCTGTAACAGCCAGGGCTGGGCTGGGCTGAAGTCAGGTGCCCAGAGCTTCTTGCAGGTCTCTCACATGGGTGCAGGGGACAAGCACTTGGGCCATTTTCCGCTGCTTTCCCAGGCACGTCAGCAGAGAGCTGGATTGGAAGTAGAGCAGCTGGGACTCGAACTGATGCCCATATGGGATGCTATTGTAGGCATCTGGAGAGTGAACAAGCCATGAAAGATCTTTCTCTTTCTCTCTGTCTCTGTCACTCTGCCTTTCAAACAGTAAAAATAAATATACATTTAAAAAAGACTAACACAATGAGGGTTAGACCTTTGGTGCAACAGTTGGGTTGCACTTGGGACACCTGCATTCCACATCAGAATGCCCGGGTTGAATCCTGACTCCACTTCTGATTCCAACTTCCTGATAATGTGGACCCTCAAGGGAAGCAGATGATGGCTCAAGCAGTTGGGTGTCTACCATCCATGTGGGCGAGAGACCTGGATTGAGGTCAGGTTCCTGAATTTGGCCTGGCCCTGTCCCAGCTGTTGCTAGCGTTTAGGAGATCCCTCTGTTTCTGCTTCTGTCTGACTTTCAAATAAAGAAAAAATATTTTTTAAAATAAGAAAGTAATTTTAAAAACAGGAAAGGATATTTTCAGGTTTCACAGAGGTGTTAAAGCACAGTGTGGTCCACTGGGAGGTAGCAGGTGTTGGCTCACGGTGTTGGGTCTCTGCCAGCCCTGTGAGAGACCAGGATTAACTTCCCAGCTTCTGGTTAGGCCTGGACCACCCCTGCCCACTGTGAGCATTTGAAGACTGAACTAGCAGACAGGTGCCCTGTCAATCTGTCTCTGTCTCACAAATAAAACTGAGTTAAAAACTACTGGGGCTAGAGTTACGGTATAACAGAGTAAGCTTTCACATGCGATGCCGGCATCCCTATCCCGCTCCCTGGCTGTTTCACTTCCAATCCAGCTCCCTGCTAATGCACCTGGGAAAGCAGCAGAGCTGGCCCAAGTACGTGGGCCCTTGCCATCCATATTGGAGACCCAGAGGAAGCTCTGGGCTTCTGGCTTTGGTCTGGCTCTGGCTATTGTGGCCATTTGGAGAATGAAGCAGCGGATAGAATATCTCTCTAACTATGCCTTTCAAATAAGTTTTGAAAACTCTTTTTAAAAGTACATGGCTGGCTGGCACCACGGCTCACTAGGCTAATCCTTCGCCTTGCTGCGCCGGCACACCGGGTTCTAGTCCCGGTCAGGGCACCGGATTCTGTCCCGGTTGCCCCTCTTCCAGGCCAGCTCTCTGCTGTGGCCAGGGAGTGCAGTGGAAGATGGCCCAAGTGCTTGGGCCCTGCACCCCATGGGAGACCAGGAAAAGCACCTGGCTCCTGCCTTCGGATCAGCGCAGTGTGCCGGCCGCAGTGCGCCAGCCGTGGTAGCCATTGGAGGGTGAACCAACGGCAAAGGAAGACCTTTCTCTCTGTCTCTCTCTCTCTCTCACTGTCCACTCTGCCTGTCAATAGAAAGAAAATAAGAAATACATGGCTATCACATTTAGACTTTGTCCCTGAAGTAGTCAGAAATACTGGGAAATAGCTAAAATAGGGATACTTTTCTCAATTTTTTGGAGATAATGGTAGATTAACATGCAGTTGTAAGAAATAGAGATTTCACGTCCACTTTGTTCGGTTTCTCTCAAGGGTGACATTTCGCAAAACTTGAGTATCTTATCAGCACCAGGATATTAACATTGGTACAATCCAGTGTCTGTGTGTACACGTGTGTGTGCGTGTCCTAAGTTCTACACAATTTTCTCACCGTGTAGGTCTGAGCAGCCACCACAGATTCCGGGGTTCTTGATGCTTTGCCTTGCTCCCTGTCGTCCTCACTCGGGAACCTGGGCCGCAGGAGCCAGTCTTCAGCACCTGGCAGACATGTGCTACCGTGTCACGGGAGTGTGAGCACAGAAAGTCATGTTCTGGCTCTTCAGGGCCTCCACCCAGATGGAGGCACGTCACCTCCACTCATGTTTTATTAGACAAAGGCCGCCACGCCTAACTCCGTGCGGCAGGGAAGCATGATCCCAGCACGCCCCTGGAAGGAAGAGAACGTGGGTAGTGATGAGCAGCTCGGATGACCACCATCTCACTCTTTACACATTTGCCTCCCTCCACGTGCACTGGGAGATTCTCTGCAAGGCCCATTCTCTGATCCATTTCTTGGGGAAAACGAGGAAAGCAGAACACAAAGAGCCATGTAAAACTTCCAAAATAACCTAAGACAAGGGCACTTAAAAAGGTTCATGGAAAGGCAGGCATTTAGCCAAACAGTGCAGACATTCTCAACCCTCACCGGCACACTCGGGTTTGAATCCTGGCTCCAGTTCCTTTATTTTTTTTAATTAATTTATTTGAAAGGCAGTTACATAGAGCAAGAGAGAGACAGAGAGACAGACAGACAGACACACACACACACACACAGAGATCTTTCATCTGCTGTTTCACTCTCCCAATGGCCACAACAGTCAGAACAGAACCAGACCAAAGCCAGAAGCCCAGAGTTTCCTCTGGGTCTCCAATATGGGTGGCAAGGGCCCACGTACTTGGGCCAGCTCTGCTGCTTTCCCAGGTGCATTAGCAGGGAGCTGGATTGGAAGTGGAGCAGCCAGGACTCAACTAGTGCTCATATGGGAGCTTCACCTGCTGCCCCACAACACCAGCCAGGGATCCACACTCCTGACACCCCACCCCACCACTACAGACCATGGAAGCAGCAGGTGATGGCTCAGGTAGTTCAGTTCCTGCCACCCACGTGGGACACCTGGACTGCATTCCTAGCTCCTGTTCCAGCCCTGGCCATTATGGACATTTGAGGTGTGAATCAGATCACAGAGCTCTCTCTCCTATCTTTCTCTGCCTCTTGAATTAAAAAAAAAATCATAGAAAATGGAATTAAAAGATAAGTTTATTTTTGTGCAAAACTTTTGAAATCCATGCATATAAGAAGTCTTTGAAAAGTTCACGGAAATGCACTTTATAAAAAAATTACATATGGATTTCGGGCCGGCGCCGTGGCTCACTAGGCTAATCCTCCGCCTAGCGGCGCCGGCACACCGGGTTCTAGTCCCGGTTGGGGCGCCGGATTCTGTCCCGGTTGCCCCTCTTCCAGGCCAGCTCTCTGCTGTGGCCAGGGAGTGCAGTGGAGGATGGCCCAGGTGCTTGGGCCCTGCACCCCATGGGAGACCAGGAAAAGCACCTGGCTCCTGGCTCCTGCCATCGGATCAGTGCGGTGCACCGGCCGCAGCGCGCCGGCCGCGGCGGCCATTGGAGGGTGAACCAACGGCAAAGGAAGACCTTTCTCTCTGTCTCTCTCTCACTGTCCACTCTGCCTGTCAAAAAATAAAAAAAATAAATAAATAAAAAAAAATTACATATGGATTTCAAAATATTGTTTGCACTTACTGATTAACTCTTTACTTAATATATACTAAATCGATCTTCTGTATATAAAGATAATTGAAAATGAATCTTGATGTAAATGGAATGGGAGAGGGAGTGGAGATGGGAGGGGTGCAGGTGGGAGGGAAGTTATGGGGGGGAAGCCATTGTAATCCATAAATTTTACTTTGGAAAATTATATTTACTAAATAAAAGTTAAAAAAAAAAAAAACAAAATACTGTTTGCACCAAAGTAAATTCATCTTTTAATTCTGTTTTTCCAAGAACTTTATTTATTTATTTTTTTGACAGGCAGAGTGGACAGTGAGAGAGAGAGACATACAGAAAGGTCTTCCTTTTTCTGTTGGTTCACCCCCCAATGACCGCTACAGCCGGCGTGCTGCGCTGATCCAAAGCCAGGAGCCAGGTGCTTCTCCTGGTCTCCCATGCGGGTGCAGGGCCCAAGGACTTGGGCCATCCTCCACTGCACTCCCTGGCCACAGCAGAGAGCTGGCCTGGAAGAGGAGCAACCGGGACAGAATCCGGTGCCCCAACCGGGACTAGAACCCAAGGTGCTGGCGCCGGAGCCGCAGGTGGAGGATTAGCCTATTGAGCCGTGGCGCTGGACGCCCAATTTTCTTTTTTAAGGTTTTTGTGGAGACTGTCTCAAGTGTAGAACAGTTATTTTGGTCATTTCTTAAATCTTAAAGAAGATTGTTTTTCTGAGAGGCAGACATTGAGGGCGAGCAAGCGAGAGTGAGAGGCAGAGAGAGAGAGATCCCATCCACTGGTTCGCTTCTGAAAATGTTGGCAATGGTTGGAGGTGGCCAGGACCACAGTCAGGATCTGGGGACTCAGTTCAGGCTCCCATGTGGATGTCAGGAACCCATTACTTGAGTTATCACCTCCGTCTCTCCCGGGGTCTGCATCACCAGTAATCTCAAGTCAAGAGTTGGAGTCAGGACTTAAGCCTAGGTACTCTAACACGGGGAGTGAGTGTCCTAACTGCTAGGCCAAAGCTTGCCCTTTCTTAAACATGAAAAAAAAATTTTTTAAACAAACTTATTTATACGAGAGGCAGAGAGACAGAGAGAAGGAATACGAGGAGGAGAAGGGCAGAAAGAGGATCAGAGGGGAGGGAGGGGGAGGAAGGGACAAAGTCCTATTTGCTGGTTCACTTCCCAATGCCTGCCACAGCCAAGCTGAGCCAGCCTGAATCAGGAGCTGGGGACTCAGTTTCAGTCTCCCATGTGATCCCAGTCATCTGAACCCTCACTTGCTGCCTCCTAGGGTCAAAACAGCAGGCAGCAGGAGCCAGAGCCGGACACTAAGCCCAGCTACTCCATTCAAGATGAGGCTGTATTAACTCCCAGGTCAAATACTCACCTCTCAACCTTAAAACAACAAAAAAAAGTTTTTTCATTAACACTATGTAACTATACAGGATTTTTCATCCTTTTTGTATACATACTTCTTAACATAATTGGATTCCTAATCTAAGCACCATTTTACAATCTTTCTTGATTAAACATGACTTCAAAGCTTATTATAGGGGCCAGTGCTGTGGTGTAGTGGGTAAAGCCGCTGCCTGCAATAAATAAATCTTTTTACAACATAAAACTAGGGGCCGCCGCGGCTCACTAGGCTAATCCTCCGCCTTGCGGCGCCAGCACACCGGGTTCTGGTCCTGGTCAGGGTGCCGGATTCTGTCCCGGTTGCCCCTCTTCCAGGCCAGCTCTCTGCTGTGGCCCGGGAGTGCAGTGGAGGATGGCCCAAGTCCTTGGGCCCTGCACCCCATGGGAGACCAGGAGAAGCACCTGGCTCCTGGCTCCTGCCATCGGATCAGCGCGGTGGGCGGGCCAGCCGGCCAGCCGGGGGGCCACCGCGGCGGCCATTGGAGGGTGAACCAACGGCAAAGGGAGGACCTTTCTCTCTGTCTCTCTCTCACACTGTCCACTCTGCCTGTCAAAAAAAAAAAAAAAAACACATAAAAATAGGGGCCGGCGCTGTGGCATAGTGGGTAAAGCTGCCACCTGCAGTGCCAGCATCTCATATGGGCACTGGTTTGAGTCCCAGATGCTCCATTTCTGATGCAGCTCTCTGCTGTGGCCTGGGAAAGCAGTAGAAGATGGCCCAAGTCTTTGGGCCCCCGCTTCCACGTGGGAGACCTGGAAGAAGCTTCTGGCTCCTGGCTTCAGACTGGTGCAGCTTTGGCTGTTGCAGCCAGTTGGGGAGTGAACCAGTGGATCAAAGATTTCTCTCTCTCTCTGCCTCTCCTCCTCTCTCTCTGTTTAATTCTGACTTTTAAATAAATAAATAAATCTTTATACAAAATTTAAAAAATAAATGAAATAAAATAAATAAATATGAGGCTGGCACTGCGGCATAGCAGATAAAGTCACTGCCAGCAATGCTGGCGTCCTATGTGGGCGCCAGTTTGAGTCCCAGCTACTCTTCTTCAGGTCCGGCTCCCTGCTGTGGCCTGGGAAAGCAGTGAAAGATGGTCCAAGTCTTTGGGCCCCTGCACCTGTGTGGGAGACTGGGAAAAAGTTCCTGGCTCCTGGCTTCAGATCAGCCCAGCTCCAGCTGTTGTGGCCACTTGTGGAGTGACCAGCAGATGGAAGACCTCTCTCTCCCTCTCTCTCTCTCTCTGTCTGTCTCTCCTCTCTCTGTATAAATCTTTCAAATAAATAAATAAAATCTTTTTTAAAAAAGTTTTTTAAAAAAGCTTCCAGGTCTCCTACACAGGTGCAAGGGCACAAAGACCTGGGCCAAAACCCCACTTCTTAATACACTCACATTAGCCATTACATTTCTTTTTTTTTTTGACGGGCAGAGTGGACAGTGAGAGAGAGACATAGAGAAAGGTCTTCCTTTTGCCGTTGGTTCACCCTCCAATGGCTGCTGCGCTGATCTGAAGGCAGGAGCCAGGTGCTTCTCCTGGTCTCCCATGGGGTGCAGGGCCCAAGCACTTGGGCCATCCTCCACTGCACTCCCTGGCCACAGCAGAGAGCTGGCCTGGAAGAGGGGCAACCAGGACAGAATCCGGCACCCCGACCGGGACTAGAACCCGGTGTGCCGGCGCCACAAGGCAGAGGATTAGCCTATTGAGCCACGGCGCCAGCCTAGCCATTACATTTCAAAATTGGAATTACGCAACTCAAATAAACACAGGATGCTTATGAGTTGGGTGAGCAGCTGGAGATGTGGGCTGGGCCTGGGTGTTGGAGAGCAAGATGCTTCATTTTCAGACTTTCGTGGGTATGCTGAATTGGCTTTTTTTTTTTTTTTTTTTTAACAGGCAGAGTGGACAGAGAGAGAGACAGAGAGAAAGGTCTTCCTTTGCCGTTGGTTCACCCTCCAATGGCCGCCGCGGCCGGCGCACCGCGCTGATCCGATGGCAGGAGCCAGGTACTTATCCTGGTCTCCCATGGGGTACAGGGCCCAAGGACTTGGGCCATCCTCCACTGCACTCCCTGGCCACAGCAGAGAGCTGGCCTGGAAGAGGGGCAACCGGGACAGAATCCGGTGCCCCGACCATGACTAGAACCCGGTGTGCCGGCGCCGCAAGGCGGAAGATTAGCCTAGTGAGCCGCGGCGCCGGCCCCTCCCAGGTTTTCCAAGTACTTAACTGTCTGTATTAATTCTTCTTCTGAT